ACCCGCATGAGTTTGGTGGAATGACAACAACGCACGTCGCGGCTCATATGATGTGGAAACCAGAAATCGTCTTATTGAACAAGTGAGTTATTGCCCCCAATCCCCAGTAAACTAAAGCATTTTCCGTCGAATGGTTGTTTCGCAATCTTTCACTTGCACCACGACCCAGCCATGAAATTTTGAACGTCTTCTGCTGCACGCATAAACACAAGCATAGGGAAATTTTTTCCATTATCCTGGTCCGATCTTCAGGTCAAGAGGAGCCCTTTTTTGTATGAACAATAAATATACCACAGGTACACATTTAATAGCTTACACATGATTAAATTGCTTTAGTGTGTCATAGTCATGTTTTCGAAAATGTCTGCATCACATCGTGAGACCGTTTTGTTTTTCATACAGGTAGTCCGTAAGCCAATAAACCATTTAAGACTCAAATAAGCTTTTAATGTACTAACTTTAGCCTATATTTGTATCATGCAAAGTGCAAAAATTTGAAATATTTTAAATCGAATAATAAAAATCGTGTCCCTCGAATGGCCTTTACTTGACGTGTACAATACAAACGCTTAGCATGCGTGGCCCCATTACGCACATTTCTTCGCTGCTGGACGGTTCTCGGCTTATTAACATACACGCGACCCCTCAGGTAAATTCAAACAAAAAGGTCGGGTGCTGTCAAATTGAGCGAATGTGTAGACGATTCGAGATCTGAAGTCCGTAAAATTATTTGCTTCCCAAAAGACCTGTATTACCAAATGCATTGTGAATTTGGTCGTTTGAACGGTCGCCACATCTTTTAGCCACCATGTTTCAAGCCTGTCTACCACTGCAAGACTAACAAAATGTTTCGTCATTGCTCGGCATCGCTGGGCGGTCACCGTAACTGGATTATCGCTTTCGTCCTGAGAAATATAAGGTACGGCTAAAATTGTGGACGCTGCGTTGTGTCCAGTAGTGACCCTGAGGTAACACAACGCCCGTTTATTAATGGGCCAGGCATCCTCTGTGTCCAAATCTATTGCTCTGTTTATCCACCCCGTCTTTCAGGAGAAAAAAAGACTTAAAAATCCCCGGTACAGAAATAAGGCATATATGCTCTTTGCGTTAATACGATGGACGGATAGTTCCAGAAAGAGAATCCAACAGATTTTACGTGTCGTTTCAATATGTATTTTCCGACAATGACTTTCGAAGGAATAGATTTTGCAGCGAATGTTGCCGGGGCTTTCTATACATCACGCCACATGCGTGTGACAAGCGAACGGTCAAAGTCATGTGCTCCTGTTCAGATCAACTTTGTGCTAATTGGCAGACCTCCAGCCATGCCATATACCCAGCCATGTATTCAAGACTTTCCACTTGAGCTGCCCCCGTTCTCAGTACACGTCCTGTCTACAACCCGCCTTCTGTTTCGCATACATGACAGATTTTCCTAATATGAATTAACGTCTGAGTAAATCATGAAGGCAAGTGGTTGCCAAATGTTTCCCTGGAAACATGACTTACGGGTCATGCCACATTTATTCAATAAGCATCTAAACTACTTAAGACAGTTATAGTAAGCAGGCGCATTCTTTCTTTATGACGGTCCTGTCTGACGTCTATGCCCGCCCAGCAAAATCATTTTCATCCACTCTGATTATCCTAACATGGGCGCCTTAATAAGGTAGGAGACACATCCGCCTCATGAATTCAGATCAGGGAGGGTGTCAGCAGTATTCTTCGGAGTTCCCTCTCAAATCAGCATAACCTAGCCTCCTACTCAAATACTGTTATAAACTCTGGGAAACCTTTAATGGACTCGCTTACTTTTTAGTGTCGACGGGAACTTTGAGGGGTCATGGAAACCTAACATGGTTCTTTCTAGCAACGGCGATGTACTGTGGATACCTCCTGCAATTTTCAAAAGTTCTTGTCAAATCGACGTCCGTTACTTCCCTTTCGATCAACAGACATGCCAGATCAAACTAGGTAGTTGGACTTACAACAGGAAACAGGTAAGTAGACTGACTACCTCATCAGGTTCTGAGGACTGGCCGTTGCAGCACAAGTCTATGCATCCTAATAGTGAAAATAAATCGACCTTTAGTCGCCGTTGACCTAATTTCACACAATGAACGCCAATTATATTTGATCTTCTAGGAAAATTAAAGTCATGACTCAACTGTAATCTCAGAAGGCTTGCAATCTGAATATATTCCCCCGTGGAATTATGCTAGCAAAAAGTAAGGTAATCATGATTCCGAGTCCAAATATATAATTCATTTGTTTTTGTTTGGACAAGAGAAATATATTGGGTTATACTGATTCAGGTGGGCTCACAGTAGTGGATTGGACTGCGTTCGAAATGTATTCAAACTAGCTCACAGTATGCGAGTAAACTAAGAGGGCTGCTTAATTAGCGCGTGCTATACGGACATATTTGGCTTACGCACAAAGCCTGTGCGCATCGAATGGAAAAGGGTGAGAAACTAAACTACTAAAGATAAAACTCGAACGGTGACTGCAATAAATATTTGCGGCTTCTACCAACTTTCAAAACGTCTTTGTGTCGAAGGGAAATTACTTTTTGTCTCATGCCACACGCAGGGATGCGCTATACAGTTATAGTGCCATTCTGGTTATAGAGGTCTGTTTCATCGTTCCGAAATGCCGACCCCCGAACGTGCCAAGACACAAAAACTGCCGTTTGGCAAAATATGCAATATTTTCGACAGGTAACAAAACCAAATGGCAAGCTGATACTAGTTTTCCTCAGAGATGGCCATGAAAATACATGCATGCTGGCGTTTTTATTAAAGCGCCTTTTTCAAAGTCAGATACATATATCGAACGAGCTGTACTACGTGAATAATGTATGGAAGCTAGGACAAATATCAATAACTCATGGGGATTTAATGGATTCATAGCAAATATATTCAAAGCTACTTTCAGCAAGGTTCGCACTTCGTCTACCGATAGTGGACTGTAGCATGTTTAGACAGCGTCCAAAATTACCCTATTTCCAAGATTTTAGTGTTTAAATTGTCGTCACGAGGTCACGTAAAAGTAACTTGGGGATACTAGGTGAGTCGACACTGCGTCCGTGCGCGGTAGTTAAATCCCGCCTTATGCTTTTTCATTTCCTCATATAACAGTTTTAAGGGTATGCGATCAGCTCCCAGACATTTCGCAAAGTTTGTTCACAAAGGTAACGTTGTAATGCTTTATGGTGTCTTCTATCTGTTCTGAAGGCCTTAAGCAAACATTGTGCAACCTTCTATGATGTTTTTTATTTATTCATACTTATTTCCAGTCATCCTGATTTTGTTTCATCATTAGATTTTGATGCGTGTAGAGAAGAGAGTGAGGTCCATGATGGGCAAGTTTGCTGGTAGAAATTCACGTTTCGTTTCTAAAGCGGTATATGACAGGTAATAAGCCTGAAAAGGCGGCCAAAGCTGATTATAGACAGATCGACAAATTAACATTCATATTCACATTTATTTTGGATAAACTGGGACAATGAAAGAAATGCGTTGTAATGCCGGAAAGAATCGATCCGACAACTAAATTTTCCAGGAAAAGTGTACATTCACTTCACATAGGTAGATTAGTACAGCCTGACGGATTTATAGCAATAATGGAGCCGTTTATTAAACAAGTACATTCTTGACAAGCAGAGTAGAAACACTTTGAACTCGCGAGTATGATAATCCTTCTTTATAGCATCGTGTCTCTTCACCTTCGGAGAACACATTCACTTCATATAAATAAGTCGATGTGGATGGATCCGGAATAATCTAAGTTGCCTATTCGTTATTACTCTTGGGTCACAAAATGAAATAGTCAAACTGTACGTGCTAATTTATCTAATGTCCGCCAAACCCTCTTTTTTCATACATTCTAAACTAAAATCGACCTTCCCTATCTGTGCACGCAGAATATTGACAGTGCTGCTTTTAACCTGCCTCCGTACTGTTTTGCTCGACCTCCGAGTGTTGCATAAAGTGAATTAAGTCCTTATTCATCTTTTTGTACGACGACACTAAATAAAATACCTACATAGTGGACTTTTAAGAGCTTACTATGTCATTCACTTTGTTCCGATTCTTCAGGGATTCTGTGTGACTAAATTACGCATTCATGCGAACGTTCACCTAGACGCCAAACGTCTCCTCTCCTGCGTTTCTACTTTTTAATCTTCCTATTGTTACAAGACATATACAGGCAACTTGAGTTTATCAGGTCAGTTATGGATTTAACGTCAGTCAGCGTTGGACCTACTGAGCGCACTGAAAGACAATGAGTGTTAAATTTAATTGTAAACCTTTTCCGTCAGGGCATGTGAGTAGGAAACCACCCTTAATTCACATGACCTTAAGCTAATCTCAAGGAAGGGTACCAACTTGTCCTTATCGTAATCCCCAAAGCTAACCCTAAGGCAAGCCTTAACCGTAACTCTAACACTAAACTTAACCCTTACCCCGCCTTAATCTTAACCGCAAACTCAACCTGGATCCTAATCGCCCCAGAATACAAAGCAACGCAACCTATATGATAAGGGAAGATCCTATTCCTGAGTCCAACTGGTATTTTTTGACCTTCAGTCGTTTGTCTGTTGCATCATCCTAACCTCATCTATGTAAATGCATGATTTCATAGGTCGACCTCCAGTTCTACAGCAATCGCACCAGCCTAGACCTCTCTAACTACGTCACAAGCGGAGGATGGGATATAGTGGACTGTCCTGCCAACTTGGATGAGCAGCCCGTGCCCAATGAGGAGCGCCAGGAGGGAGAGATGGAGTTCGGGGGTAAGGTACGCTATGGCACCATCAGCATCCGACCCAGGGGCAGGCAAATGACCTTTCACATTGTCCTCCGACGCAAACCCCTTTTTTACACCACCAACATGATCATCCCGTGTGTGCTCATTGCTCTACTGAGTACCTGCGTCTTCTATCTGCCAACCGACGCAGGTGAGAAGATCACTCTCTCTATCAGTATCCTGGTGACTTTGGTGGTCTTTATGCTCCTGGTTAGCAAGATGCTGCCGCCCGGTCCAAAAACAATTCCCCTGCTTTCACAGTTCCTACTTTTCACCTTTGCAATGAATTTTCTTACACTTTTTATTACCGTCGTCATCATCAATCTCAATCACCGGAACCCGAAGACACATTCAATACCAGCCTGGATGAGGACAGTATTTATACACCTGATACCGCCATTCTTGGGTCTCGAAAGGTGAGAGCATAGGGGTTTTCGTAATGACTCCCGTTTTATTTCATCGCTCTCAATTATCTGCATTTTATCCCAACTATACGGTTTTTGCAGGGTTAAGGACTACCTACGGGCCCCCTACGTTCATTTAAAAGGCAGCCTCATGATTAACCGTCCTCAAAGAACAAAATGTGCATAACTGAAACGTTTGACCTCGCCAGCTCCATTTTTGGTATTTCTAAATTGTTTTCTGTGAGGTTGAATTCCTTCTTACTCGTGAATACACAAGCTCCCAGTAGATGCTAAACAAAGAACTTACCGACGCATAGTATCATTACCCGCAGAACATTTAAAAGACGACTATAAAGATAGTGCGCCTCTTGGGTAGGGAGGCTGAAAAACGCATACATGAGCATAAAAGGGAGAAACACAATGCTGCATTCCAAAAAGACAATGACTGAAACTTCTCAATCCAATGCTACGGAAGTTTATATTATCAAAATTAATCTGTTGGGAGAGTACCGATAACTCGGTCGAGAGCAACGCGATATGTCTCTGCCCAACGAGGTAGACGCAGCTGTCACTTGAATGGGAATTTGTCTCTGGTGAGGCAGACTCACAGCATCTACCGCATTCACTCTTCCCACGTTCACTACCTTCAGATGGTAAGACTTCTTCGGGGGGGGGGGGGGTCTCAGCTCGCATGCAAATTAGAGTGCCATAAAGACAACATTAAGAAGGGATCGCTGCAGCTCCATCCTTCTGTCCATGGTATCTTATTTAAGGGGTTACCCTGCCTGATTTGCGAGTTTCCATTTGTTGAGCTCTGAGCGCCCGCATGCCAGACTCTCACACGTTGACGGTCCCTGAAGGTCGTGAATGACCCAACGGCGCGCAAGTTGCTGACTCACGCGTGGGCTTGGTAGGCGAGACTGACCTGTGGTTTGCCAGTCCCCTGTCGCGTGCGGCAGCCGGACGACAAGACTGGTGCGTCCTGGTCTCGGCAGCCCCAACAGTAACTCGGTAATAAAAAACTAAGCGCCGAATCCAAGCTGGGCCGATCTCTCCCTCTCTCCCTTCCCATTCCCATACACCAGTGGCTTATTTGATTCAAACCGACCGGAGAAAGGACTGACCATAATGATTGGTGTGACTGGGCTGGTGTTCTGACGTGCATACACGTGTTACCGGGAAGGTCTATGCGCATCCTTAGCCTGTTTGTGCGTGCGTGTAGAGAAGTGTATTGTGAGGGGATAGGGACCGTGATTTTTTATTTAACACTTTGATGTATGTGCATGCTACTGAATGGACCCATGCGGTCCTAAATGTTCCGTATCAACACGCGGAAGTATGGTGTGTTTTAGAGATACTTATCGGGGCTCCAGAGTTACGCTGCGACTAACTTGTATATGAATGACTAGGCCGTTGCGTGAATGAAATTTGTGATCGCAACGAATTTGTCGGTGATGCTATTGACTTACTCGCGGTTTTCACATTGTTTAGCATGCATTATAAACCCAACGCATTTCATACACGCTATGACGCCTGCCTTTGAATGGACGTCATTCCATCCACCTGCGGAAATCACACTTTCCAGAAATGATTATCTAAGTATTACAACTTGTCTCGTTGGTTCTCGAGACCTTTATACATCCAAGGGCTCTTTACAGAAAATATTACGAAAACATCCTTTTTATGCGCTTCTTGTGATAACCTGTAGATTTTTCACTCTTTACTGTCCGGAGTTGTGTATTTCGTTTCTGAAACAATTTACCGAATCCCACATAATTCAGACCCTCCTGGCGTCGTGCTTGCGTTTAGGCCTGCCAAAGTACATGCTGCATACTTCGTCTTTGAGGGGAGACAAGGCATTCCCCGTTGTTATTGGGCAAATACCATCGAGCGCCTATAAAATTTCACGCTCGATACGAACCGCGCTGTATACTCAAAAGGCAGTGTTAGTTGGCGTGCACACGATTGCTGGTCCCCTACGGGCGGTATGACTATGTCGGTTTTTTTGGTGCCTCACCGCTCTGCCTTTAGACTTGCGCTGCAAAAGTTGTGTCTTATTCACTCGTATTTTCTCGTAGAAGCGGATCTCACCTTGTCGCGAGCCAGTTTGCAGATGACCAGCGCTGTCGTCCACTCTGATCAGCTGGTCAACGGATTGTGTAGGAGAGAAAGAACAATCCAAGCTGCCAGGGGAAACGGTGGCACTCTAGAAGACTGTAGAAAGGCAAGGGGATATAAACAAGGCTGTCGTTTCGTATAGTATTTGACCGAATTTTTGCGGTGCATAAGTCATGGTCAGCTGGCAGACAGTTTGATTGCCAGCTTTCCGTTGACCAGCCTTAATCTCCCCGACTTACAGGTGCGCAGAGCTCCCACAAACAGATCTGCTTAGTCACCACCACCTGCTTGAAACTTAACCATGGGTTTCGACTTCGTCAGTGGGAAGACGGCCCGACTTATTCCGGGTCTTCCGCGGAGTTACTGTCGCTCTATCCGCGTGACGTTTTGTTTTTCGAATGGGGGGAGAATACGGATAATGGAGGAGAATGTCACAATTTCCTAAAGCCCGATAACCAATGTAGAAATATGCTGTATCCTGAGAAAAAGTCATAAAAACGATTTCATATGATAGCAAACGACGACTAAATTCTAAAGAAGTATAGTAAAAGACTACCAGAAGGTCAGAAGTTATGTCGAACATAAAGATAATGCTGTACTCCTACAATACTGCTCAGCGAGGTAGTTAGGGAAATGGAAGTCGTTTATATGAATCGCACTGTTTTTTTGCTGAATACCGCGAAGTATCGAAACTGGAATTCTTTACTTTACGCCACTGTATTAGACCAAAATGGAGGCCAAACGCTCTCAATGAAGTTAACCAGCTCCTAATGCCGGAAGTGGACGAGTTTGGAGAAAACGAGAGCCCCAGATTAACGGGACGGTTTGGGGATGAAAGTGGTCCCACAGAAGACGACTTTCCGTCGGGGCGCCGAACAGAGGGAGTGGACCACTCAGCCGTTTCACGAAACACGCTATGTGGCACTCACGGGACTCGTGCTTACGCCTTATCTCGGGAAGTCCAATCAAGTCAAGACAAAGCACGCGGGGACTTTTGTCACAAAGGGCAGCGTGAGAGCACAGGGACAGCGCAATATGATGTAAGTTTCCCAAATATTGCGATTTTGGTGGACACACAGTGTTGCGTGGCAGGCACCAGTCAACCCCCTAAATTGCAAATCAAGGTCCCCGTAGATAAATTCACAAGAAAAACTATCAAACACATGTACGTCTCCGGTAGGTCGGTCCTATTCAAGTCAGCACAATTATATGGGAAGATTGGATCTGGGTTGAGAATTACTCAAGGATCAGTGAGGTCAACTTCCCTCTGACGAGGTTCAGCCCTATTCTTCCTTCCTTATTCTTCCCTCTTTAGCTGACCTCAATGTCCTCCAATCAATCGTCTACCCAGATCAAACCTCAGTACGTATTTTTACTGGGCTGCCAATAAATTATTGACAGGGTATGTAGGTTAGCCAGTTTGTTATTCCCATCCAGAGTTGAATGGAACCTCATTTCCTTCTCCTCTCAGGATTAAGGTGGAAGATGAAGGACCACTTTGTGCGTAAAATGTAGACATAAGTCGGTGCGGTTCGCTCACAGCGTAATGGAAGACCGGGGTGGACAGTTCTAGCTCATATGTCGTCGACAGGAGATTTACGTAAATAAACTGGTGCATTATTGTCAGAGAAGAGGCTGCTGCCCACTATCCTGACATGCGAATGCGGATGGCACATGGGGTAACACGCCCTAAAGTGGCACACGACGTGGTTCACTCACAACGTTATGGGAGACCGGGGCAGACATTTCTGGCTCATATGCCGCCGCCGACAGGCCATACCCCTAACCTGGGCTGGAGGGATCTACCACACTTTGGCCACTTAACACAGAGCCGTACGTTATGCCATTGAGCCATGAATTCACGTCCTGTCGGCAGCAGGTTAGAATTCTCGAGGTTCCATTTCAAGAAGGAGTGGGGACGAATATGTCTGGCTTGCAGCCCAGAGCTATGGTGCTCGCTGGTGAGGTATTATGACCTGTTCCCTTCTGAATTGTGCGCAGACTGTTGCCTACACCCGTCAGTCGTCTAAGTCTTGTTTAACACCTCCAGAAGGACTATCTGTGAGTTACAGAAGAGGGGATAGGGTAATATACATGAAAGCCTACTCTTAAAGAGTGTCGCTCCAGCTTCAGAGTGTGTGAAGATTAGTAAGTTTTAAGTTTTTTTATGCAAAAAATAAGCAAAACAATAGTCTGAATAGTAAACGTACATAAGAGAATCAGCAATCGAGAAGTGTTACGGGCAAAAACAGGGAAAGACAGAATGGCCGTTCCCCGCATATAGAATATTGTTAACTAGTGATAATTCAAATTCGTGCGGATAAGAGTCGGAGATCGAGTTCGAACACCCTGACCATTGAGAATAAGGCCGAATTTCTAAATAAACCATCGATATGAGGCAAAACCAAATCACCGTATTCCGTCCTAGAAGCAAAATAGGTCTTGAAAAGTTCCTTCTATGTGAATCTGCATATTTCTAGTTCTAACCGACGTGATACGAGCCCATGGTTTAAAGTCATAACGCTCGACTTAGTTCTCAATGACCGAATAGATAGAGTTGGAGCCATAAGTCTCCCGACATGCAGTTGGATATGTCGGCCGACAACGGCAAATAACTCGGAAACTGACGCGCTCCTTCTCCTTAAACATAGATTATCCTTTGTTGGTCGTGCTCTAGAACAGGTCCGGCGTGACATCCATTACCTCCGTGCGGACATAATACGGAGACATCCAATCAGACTTCCCCAGTGCCGCTAGTCAAAGGAAAAACCAATAAAATGTCGCCTATTATAACAGGTAATCACATGGGTGATAAGATCGACTTAGACGAAGATATAAAATCGACTAAGTTAGATGGCGTGCCGCACAGCGGCTCGCAATATAGCCAGGATTGCTTTTCCGACAAAGACAAGGGAAATTAAAATGGCCATTTCGCAGCGGACAGGACAACGACCTCGTAGCTGAGTAGTTAGGGCGTTGGACTTTTAGCCGAAAGGTCGTGGATTTGAGCACCAGGGACTGCACAGCACGGGAGTGGATATGGGTGGCTAATTATGGTTAATAGGCCGGAAATAGCCATTCCAGTCTCCCTTGCCTTCACCAGTAATGTTACTTTGCCTATAGGCGTTCCCACTCCATGGGATCCGAGCCAGGTGTGACGGCACCCATAGATGCGGCTTCGGTCGCGCCAGCCACCCCATTTTGTTGTTTGTTAAAATCCTGTTCATTTGCTGTGTGGCCCGGGGGGATGTGGGATGGAGCGGGAAGGTTCATGCTTGACCGCGCCATTTGCCTGCGCCTTTTTCCGCACCCGGTCTATTTGACTATGTCTTGACATCGGGTACAGGTGGGGGAGGAGAGAGTGTGGTAGATGCAGCGAAATTCTGCATTCGCTATAAACTAATTCACGCACGAGTAATCGTCTCTGGCCTGACCTTGCTGTGGACCACACGGTGGACATCGTCCGTAATGACGGCCGAATGATATATATATATATATATGGAAAGGTTATACCGACAAAGACAAGGGAGACTGGAATGGCCATTTCTGGCTTATTAGCCGTCATCAGCCAGTCATACCCAACCCCAAGTATGGATCACTTGAGATTCGAACCCGGGATCTTTGGTCATGGAGTTGAACGCTCTATCATTGAGCCACGGGCCCGTTGTCCTGTCGGTTGTGATCGGGAATATTAATCATGATAGTGGGCGCTCACCGATCAGGTTACGGAACATGCTCGTTCCGTTGTGCCTTGGGGCTCATACTTAAACCCTCGCAGGCAGTCGCACAGCGACTCGTGATATATGTTGGAAAGGTAATACCGACAAAGACAAGGGAGACCGGAATGGCCATTTCTGGCTTATTAGCCGTCATCAGCCAGTCATACCCAACCCCAAGTGTGGATCACTTGAGATTCGAACCCGGGATCTTTGGTCATGGAGCTTGGCGCTCTACCATTGAGCCACGGGCCACGTCAAACAGCAGAACCACAATTTCGCCTTTGAAAAGGCAAGGGTAATCGGCCGAGCCAATGATAAGATGGCCGGACTGGTGCTCGAAAGTTAGTCCTCGACTGGCACACTCAACAGAGCCATAGATCTGCATCCCGCCTATCAGGCGCTACGTACAAGGCTCGAGTCAGTGCGGACAAGGCCATCAGGACAGTCGAGCAAAGTGACGCGTGGCCGACAGCCGATGTCAGCAGAAAGTGGGAGAGAAGCCGGCCGGGGATCATGTGACCAGCATGCGACGCCACCTCACCGCAACACCCACGAGGCTGAGATCAACTCACATGAGCCCCAACAACTGTTCAGTCCGTTGAGTGACGAGGGGGAGGCCGACAAACATGCTGGCTCACCAACAATTACGACGGCCGAAAAGGGGTCATTAGTGGCAGGAGCCCACCGGCGGTCAATCGTGGAGAGGTCAACGCTAATCGGCGGCGAACAGGCAGGTCAAAGTTCGTGCCTAGCGCACGGATATAATACGAGGCAGGTATCAAGGCTGACGCAATCAAGACCAGCAGGAATAGTCAACGCATTACTCTGATGATGGAAACGAGTGGGTTTCCGAAACGTCAGTACAAATATAACTCGGTCCATGAATTCGCCCCATCTTCTTCTTCGTCTTCTTCGGGGGATGATGAACGGGATACAATATCTGGACCTCGAATCTTTACCCATATCAATATATATATATATATATAGGCAAAATGAAATTACCGACAAAGACAAGGGAGACTGGAATGGCCATTTCTGGCCTCTTAGCCGTCGTCAGCCAGTCATACCCAACCCCGAAGTGTGGAATATCCGAGGCTTGAACTCGCCACCTGTTAGTTAGAATTCCACGCGTCTAAACACTGGGCCACGAGCCCGTTGCCCTGTCGGTCTTCGGTCGGGAATGTACAATGCTAGGGAGCGTTCACCGATCGTTCTAACGGAATTCACTCGTTGTCTTTGTCGGTAATGTCATTCTGCTTATATCATGCGCCGCTGTGCGGCTACTGGTTGGGCTCGAGAGAGCCCGTAAGGCACAACGGAACGAGTGAGTGCCGTAAGAACGATCGGTGAGCGCCCCCTACCATTATATATGCATGTATGTATGAGATAGTACCGACAAACACAAGGAAGCCGGAATGGCCATTTCGGGCTTATTAGCCGTCATCAGCCTGTTATACCCAACCCCAAGTTTGGATCACTTGGGATTCGAGCCCGAGATCTTTTTTCATGGTAAAGTTTCAAACTTCATGCCCAGTGATTGAGGAGAGAATTCACTCCGGTTCAATAATTTGACGCAAACCAACCAAACGACTCATCTTCGCGTCTTTTTTCTTTATTAATTCTATATGCACCCTTTTTAGGCCACAACAGATCAATGTTGGCCTTGCGGTCAGCAGTTCGCTTGGACAGGCTACATGGCAGACATTGATCGTAGCCTGAGAAGCGTGATGAGGAGTGTGGGGTACATCACAAGAAATGTTTTGGACGAGCACGAAGAAGGCAAGGTCAGTTTACCATTTAGCATTCGGTCAGAAGCTTTTCAAACTTCTCGCAGCTCCTTTCGGTATACAGACAATACCTAGATTGCCCCTCGGTAGCCGGTGATGACATACTTCAGATGAAGGCGCAGGTTAAGTGACATCAACCTCGGTGTTATGCCGGAAAACATTATAATTTTCCACCGGCAGCAACAGACAAGTACACCTGCATTTCGCATGTAGTAGCAACGGGTTAACATAACTACGGCTGATCGAATAACAGCATTAGTCATATGGATTTGATCATAGGCGGAGTTTGGGAAGCTGTCTATGCCGCCGGTCCTAGATTAAGTTCGTCCGTCGTAAGAGACGAGATTTATCACTGTCTCGAAGTGAGTGCAGTGATATCATGCGTGAAATATTTAATGATGCAAAAGACAAAAGAACAGCACTAATCCACATTCGCGGAGCTTCAAGCGTAAGACAGTGTGGAGACAAATGGAAATCGGCGCAGTGCAGTAAATGGGGCCCCGTCTGACGCGTGCAACATACTCCGCTGGCTTGAAATGTAATACCATCCCGATGTGGCCCTAATCCGTTTTTTCCAAATGGTCTTGAGTCGCAGAATTTGGCCCACGTAGGCACCACTTAGTGGCTTGTACTTCGTCCTGGATATGCGAAAATCAATTATGGTGCTGGTGTTGGTGATGACGATGATGATGATGACGCGACGACGATGACAACAATCCGACTAAATGGCGGCGTGGGTTCTAGTGGTGGCTTACGTCACGACCTCCCCCCCCCCGCAGTGAATTGCAGTTGGTGGGCTAAGTCATGAAATGTCCATCGAAGTCCCCAAATGCGTTTTCCTTTCGAAACAAATTAATTAAGAAGGGTTGTGAAACTTATCATCGTGCAACATAATTCTACAATAATTCAGTTGCCTCAAGATTCCGGGTTTCGAACGAACTTCTTTCTGGCTGCATGCAAATACTACACTCTGTGAAAAGTGACGACTTAATAACATGCATTTTCCTCAATGATTTCGACCCCCTTAAACATTCAATTATATTTCATGGGGGACATATATAAAAATGCTCATTCTTTTGTTTATTCGGTAGAAATTTACTTTTTTTTCCCATTTAATACTCGAAGGAAGGGTATAATTCTGTTTTCAAAAACTTTTTCAATCCCCGATTAATTTTGTGCCCGACCTGCCGTTACACTTGTATTCACGGTTTCCAATCTACAAACCGTATATTTTCCACGTTTGGAAAACCATATATTTCTCTACAGTATTAAGAGGAGATCATATGGGGTTCGTGAAATTTAGCAATTGATTTGAGTCATACTGTTAACTTTACAAGCCACATTGGTAAATGCAGGGACATGACGTTTTATGAACGGCCGTTTCACGGTATTAAAAAATCTCATGATTAAAAACTCTTCTAAGACCAAATTATACCGTTCCTTAGAGTATGAAATTGGAAGAGGACGTAATTTTCTATCGAATGAGCAAAAGAAGGAATATTTTTATGCAAGTTTTCCATGAAATATAATTTAATGTTTAAGGGCGTCAAAAGTCAATGGGAAAATTGCCTGCTACTTAAGTAGTCCTTTTTTACACATTGTAGTTTTGGCATGAAGCTGGATAGAAGTTCGTTCATAGCCAGCTTCCTGAGATAACTGAATTATTGTAGAATTATGTCGCATGGTGATTATTTCTGCAGTCCTACTTAATCTTTTCGGAACGACAACGCATTTCAAAATTTCGGTTGACAGTTAACGAGTTAGCCCACCCACTGTACCTCAACGATAGCCCAGGGCAAATTTGCATGATAGGTTTCCGCGATTTAAGTCGGCATACGAAAGAGGATGCGCAGATCTGCCAAATTCTGCGTTATGGATCGACCATAAGGTGAGAGTGGCTGCCTTTGTCAGTGGACAGACGACTTCTACAACAAATTCGATCAAATCATTTGCGATTGCGTAGTGTAAATGGAATCTTGCTTGACCTCGCACTGAGTAGGACTTCACTACTGGTCAACAATTCCTCTCTCATCAAATAATCGGCCTTTTTGGTCAAAGTAGGTAAGCAGGTTCGCCTTTTAACATTTAAGTCCTAAGCAAACTTGTTCCACTTTAGAAGCCACATCCCTCATACTGACTATTTATCGGGCATTCGCGTCCCGAACATTTAGTTAATGTTTTGCTAGATTTCGAGCTCCGTAGTCACGAAATGAAATTTCGACGACTAAAATGCTGACTAATTAATACCTTTGTGAAGGAGACCAGACGAGAGAAAAGGATTTGTCTTAAATCCCAAAACAACGAAAGCGGTGATAAGCAATTAAATATCCCATCAGCAATCAAAATGTTTGGAGTAATGTGCTGGGAGAAGCAGAAAGAAACGGTTCTGAATATGAAAGTAAAGTTACTTGCATCAACCTTTTCCAGATACACGAGGACTGGAAATTTGCGGCGGCAGTCGTCGACCGAATTCAGCTGATAATTTTTGTTTTCGGAACAATTGGAGGTACTTTGGGAATACTTCTTAACGCCCCGTACATGCTTCTCGATGTTGATCAAGAATCCGTCATACGTAAGTTTTCTTACGAAGACTAAACCAACGAGACTCTTCCGTTACTTCTCTTGGACTCAGTCGCCTAATTCGCCATCTCCCTCAAAAATGTATTCCAGTAATCTGAAGTCTTCAATTGGATAGATATTGTGCATGTCCATCCCCAACATAAAACGATACATAAACCTTGACTTTTTTCCTCATCTACATTACCACGGAGAAATGTGTAAAAAAATAAGCACGAAAAAAAACGGTCAGGGGAGAAACCCCTTGGACGCCTACAGTGAGGATCCATACTTGTTAGACTCAAGATTCAGTGAATCGGTGTGGAGAAAACGTGCAGTCTGTAAGCTCGCCTTTTGCTCGTATTGGCAAAATGCGGTCTATCTGGATCAGATCTTCATTGTTAGAAACATTCCGCAGCCACTATCAGAATGCACAACACCTACGCAAGCAAAGTGATTACCTTCGCTGGTAAAGCGTACATAAGATTATTTGCAAAACCTGTATGACCAAACAATCTAAAATGGGTGCCGTTAAAAGATTGCGGTGGGAGACTTTAATTCTTCCTCTTTTTGTTGGCTATTGACAATATGCAAACCGCACAAGTTTAGTTTTGTACGACTACACTTCATCACGGTGACGCTGGTGTCAAAGGTCTAAACCACCTAATAACCTTTCTCGGTAATTCAGAATCAGCAGACTGCTTGTCGTCTAACCCGACATTACGGCAGGAGTGCTCACGCGAGGTGAGCGTGTTGACGCGCCGCGACCTAGAGTCGGACGCACTAACCGACTGCGCGCCTATATGCAGCCTCACAGCGTGCCAGTTACCTGCGCATCAACTGGATGACAGGCTCAGACACTAGACTGTTTGGTAGAGGGAAGGAACGTAGGGGCGTGCAGTTTTGGGTCCAAGTGAAGGTCATCATAGGTGGCCCACTTGCTTGCAGGCGTTGACTACGCCTAGCGTCCAATAACTAGCACCCAACTCTCAAATGTGGCTCCCCGAAGCTAGGCTATGCCCAGCAGCTACACCCCGGTAACCGCCTCGACCGGCTAGCTAAATCAGGTGAGGGTATTCGTGTATGTATCTTAACACATGGTAGTTCTATCCCCCTCCAACACTAAATTCAACTTGCGGAACTCCTTTTATTCATATCGACTATTATCATTGATGGTTCAGTCTACTCCAGGAGCAATCGCGTCAGAAAGTATTGAACTTCGAGTGCCGTTTTGAAGAAATCAGCATCTTTGGCATCGGAGAGACTCAAACACAGCGCAATACCGACATCCCGACTATAAGTCGTGCCAGCTAGCATAGCGTCCTCCGGGAATGTGGGAACTCCGCATAAAACGGGTAACTTGAGGAGATTCTTGGTTTTATAAAAAAAAGTCGACCACCATTCTACTTTGATGGGTGAGCCGGAGCTTATGTAAATAACTTGTAGCGAGCCGTATGGTAGACTTTTCCTTTCTCCTGCACACACTTTGATCGGTTTCAAGACTTGGCCACGATTTTCGGATCATTGGACCCCATTCACGATAGCTATACCCCAGAAACTAAGTCGCATTACCCGCACGGCCGTATGATTCCGAGTAACTTACGTGCGCCCAGTATTCGGTCCACTGTCTTAGGCATCTGGACTAGTTATGACTTACAACAATCGTTTTCATGTGCAGCTTCGCTCAAACAAAGTTAAAATGCAATATTTTGCGTTTTCAGTGATGCAGCTTCCGGGGACTTCAGACATCTGCTAAAGTTGCGAAAACAATGATATGTGGGGGAGGCGCCCTACAAGCTAGATTTGCTGGTCTTGTAGGTTCGGCTAGGTCGAGTTTCTTGGCTTATAAGTGAGAGGGCGTCCGAAGTCACAAGAGGCGCGGCCCACCATGTTACGTAGAAGAACCAAGTGCCATAGAATGATAGATTTTCCTAGACCAAATCTCGCAACCCATAAATCAGAGGTACGCTACCTATCGACAACCGACTTTAGATGTAGGTTCGCCTCAAAACGGATGATTTAATCAGCACATTGAAAAATTGCACAGTAGTTCTCAAGTCTTATATTCGATAGAATTGGACGGACGATAAGCGAACTAATATTGTCAGGTTCAACTATGATTATTACTCCAGCTCGGGCGTAAATTCTCCAACGTGTTAGGCGTCGTCTTTTGTCGAATAAGATATAGCCCAAAGAGGCGTGGCGTAGTTCGAACTGCGCCGGCCGAGTCTGTAGACACTACAGTAAATAAGTGCGCCGGACGAAGGTTTACGCCAGGTTGGCCACCAGACCACTGATGTACGAAAAAGGGGACAGCGAGGCAGGTGCCGCGGTACCATTCTTCACCACCATAAGGCTGAAATGCTTGAAACTGTCGTGCATGCCGGACCTGCCAAGTTGCCGGCCGACTAAACAACTCGATTCTTCCTTAGAAAGACGGATCCTCCTTTGTGGTTCTCACGGCACTAAAAGGTAACCCAAGAGCACCCCCCCTTTTTTTTTTCTTTGAAGCCCAGTCTGCGTGGAATCCGGGACCAGATCGTGGCATGTGGGATGCACCGTTTTGTTACTGCACGCGCGTCCATTCGCAGCCGCCTCGACCCTGGCTAACAACTGGAGCGCGGCTGGTGGCGACAGAGGTGGATGGTGGACGAGTCGGCCCCAGTATAAACAGATTCACACCCTATAAATTATTCCGCCTTCAGGATGGTGGTAAACCTCCTCTCCTGCGACAGTTAGACAGACTCAAGAAAATGTGACTTCTTGTAAATTCTGGTAATGTCATTAACTACTACAGCGCACATCACTGTTGTGATCTCACAGCGCAGGGTTACTTAGAAAAGCTTCACACCTTTGAGCAAATTTAGCATTTCAAACGTCGAGGATCCTACAGCAGAAAACAGGATCACCTTTTGCTGGTGCTACCTCGCCAACGCACGCGGCCCATTGGAGTGGCATTCACTAAAGCAGTGTTCAGAAACTTTTGAACTGGAGCAAGAAGGGGGACAGATCTGATATGGGCCACACAAGTGAATGACGTCGAATGACTGACACGAAGACCACTTCTAGAAAGGACGAGGGCACAGTCGAAGTAACGACAAGAGCATATACCAAGGGCAACAGCACTGATTTCTTAGCACAAAAGTAACACCAGCTAAAGACGTAGGTGTTCTGAAAACAATTCTGACTAGGCCCTTCTTTAACATAAAGTTTGGTGCTGGATGAGGACAAGTGGAATGTCTGCTTTACTTGGAGCTGACTATGTGGCCTACAATCACTTTCAACGTGCCAGTAATGAGCGATTAAGGACGAAAAGAGATGCCAACATAACTTCCACAGAAGTCTGTGGTTTTACGCACTTAATTGGTCATACTGTGGTCACAACCCCAGCCTTGCATGTTGGCCTACGACCAAAAAGGTGCGATTTCATATCTCAGGGATTATGAGCAAAACCCGCTAGTTTGAAAAGAGGACGAGACGTACCAATGAGCGGTAAGAATAACAAAATAGACCTCTAGGTTTTCGTCTAAAATCTCGGGTCTCTTAAGGAATATAGGCGTATATTAGAAATGGTTGCCAATCTACCGCCTCTTTGATCAGACATTTACGGAATTTATAAACCTGTCAAAAAAATTCAAAGTCAAGTTATAACCAGAAATGTAAAATTAGTGAACACATTCCTCTTAAGGCAAAGTAAAATAGTCAACGAGTTCACAGGCATATTCCCTGTAAAAAATTGGATTCAGATTCCCAGACGTCAAACAATTTTAGGCACGCTTCTTCTTCGAGACTTGCAAGACGGACGAATTGGTCTGGGAGGAGGCGTATATTTGCTGGGATACTTGGTTCACAAAATATGTCATCACCAAAGTAGTTATGAAGCTGAAAAAAAGAAACATGGGGAAAGATTTGCTGCGGGATCAAAAAAACCAAACTTAATTGTAAGGAATTGTCGCACTAAGAAACGTATGGATAGCCTAGGCGTATACCACTGATGCTTGGGAAAGCAGAAGCGGCTTAACCACTGGTACCTGGTACGGGTATCGACATGCCTGGCCCAGCAGGTCTCGATGATGCCTAGGACACCTTCGTGAAGTTCCTCGAGGATTTTAGGAACAGGCGGGTCTTGAGGAGGCGTTTACACTGTTCGGTTAATGCTATCTCCTCTAGTGGCTTGGCCGAAAAACCTAGTCACGAGACAGCAGTGGCAAGTAAACTTATTGAACGGCAGCACACGGTCACTATATCACAGCGCTGTCGACGGGCTTTTTGACATTTCATAGGGCAGCCGGTGTGCCAGATCTCAGACCTCCGCAATCTGACAGCACTGTCGCTGCCGGTCGGCGACTGGGTGTTCGTCAGGCCCCGAGCCTGCTTAGTTCACAGCCAACCTGGATCTGTAGCAGCCGCGCCGGTGCCCTCCCTCAACCCGGCTCTTAAATGTCAGTCGACGGCCGCAAAAATCGAGCTAACCTGCAGGCACACCGCTAACGCATGACCACCCTTGAGCTGAAGCGCCTCTTGCCCAGCCGCACTGAGTCATAGATGCGCCCCTAAACTAGTGCTATCCCACGAGCGTCGGCAGTCGTGGTCATGCGCGCCCTACACAGCCCCATGGACTAACGAATCACGTGCTGGACACTTGCTGGTCTTCTCACGCAGGCACAAAGATGTCAGGCCCGCGTAAACAACACACCGCCCTACACGCGTTAACAAACAAACGTTTTGTTCTGACACAGAAGTAAACAGCCAAATCATAGCACACTGCCCTGTGTATAGAATGAATCGGTCCTCGTAGCTCGTTAACTTCTAACATTAGATGGTACGAAATAAGAGTGTGGTTAAAGTTCATCCAACATCCTTGACCGCCAGAGATTCCCGCTTCGTCTCCATAACAGTTAAGGTAGTGTGGAGAAGCGGTTGTAGCAGCAGCAACCGAGGGCTTGCCGGCATAATCGAAATACCAGGCCATATGATCTTTTCAGCCTGTTTGCCCCCAAATACTAGGATGACCAACTAGCTTTTGAGATGTCCTTCTGATCAGGAGTGATATCCCTCGGGATTAATTACTGTCAGCCTGAAGTGGACATCACGAGTTTCAGACATCACGAGGGGAACTTGCCGACAAAAGGATAGACTCAGAGCAACATTGGCGTCCAAGCCAATGCTGTTTGTGAGGCTTCGCTTGAGAATGCGTCTAAAGACCCGTAGCGATATCTTCACCGACACAAATATCTATGATGGACAACCGTCTGGTAAATTTCACAACTGGAAATTTTGGCTACTCGGGTGGGAGTCGGACGGAAACTGAAGGTGTGGAACCACCGTTGCCTGTGAGACATCGGATGAATTAATCAAACGGCTTATGAACGTTATTCGTCTCCTGCCCTATGCGTTTAATATTGTTGCCTTTGATCCAGCACTCCTGCCAACCGAAAACGTCAGAGGGAGTCCGCTCGAAACTTGGTTCAATACAGACCGCAGGAACGTGGGAGTTAATTTTGAACCCTTGGTGTTGGGATAGTCGAAACTGTCACCGCCGCGCTGCGAAATTCCGGTGCGGCACATCTTCATACGTGAATAGTTCGGTTCACCACACTAATGAGACTAGTGGAATCAGGCATGAACATGGCCGTACCAAGCCCACGTACTGTAACACCGGTCGCTCCGTCTGTTGGCAGACACTGAATGCTGAATCTCTCATGATTGGGGTGCTCGCGGTAAGCTCTAAAGTACAAATAAGCAGTAAATAAAAGACGATGCTGAGTGAAGAACTCTGATAAGAAATTATGAGGGTGCCGACGAGTGGGTTTCACTCTCAGATGTGATCGGATAGTGAACTTAAAATGTCAAGCAACGACCTTGTTAACTTACTAGTATATGTAACAGCGGTCGTGATAATTAATTTAGCATCGGTGCTCCAGGTCCACCATCTCATGACTGATCGCTCTTTACTGCAGCCGGTCGGCACCAGACCCGCCAGTGAAGTTGGGCCGGTTGGCATGCCAAAGATGTTCTAGGTGTTTGCTAACAATCACGTCTACTTGCGTTCCCAGCTTATCACGTCGAGACTAAAAAGGGGCAAAAGGATGCCCCAAACGACTTCGCATCCAGATCTATGCAACAAATGGTCAAGTCATCGCATTCGACAAGCATGGGTCGCGCGGTAGGCTGCTTTTGCTCATGAGTGACTGCAAAGTCGTTCGTTAGAGACGCGACCGAAGAGGGGAATTTGGGGAATGGCGCGCAAAGACAATCGGGTAGATGCGTCAATGCGTATGATAACTGAACGGACGGGTCATTTATCATGTCTACGCAGGATCGTCTTGACCGCGGACTCAAATACTGGCGGTCAGGTCCATAAACTCATCTCAGGCTAATTCTAGATGTTTGTATGAAGTCAAACGAAGGTTGCGTGCAACTGGCTAATTCAGTGATCGAGTTCGCCCTTACCCTGAGAATTCGGCAGCTTTAATTCGAGGCGACAGAAACTCTGCTAACCCAACTTTCATCATCAACCGTGACGTAGCCGATAGATCCGGCCACAAAACTTGCAAAGGTGATTTGTGGTTTGGAAAAAAAACTGCGAACCCATTCCCGCCACCCTTTTACCTATCTAGGGCAGTGGATATGGCATTTGTGCTCTACGGCGGCGCCAAGTTATCAGCGTAGTCCATATCCGTATTGCATGAACCATAGGCTGCTGTAACACTGGGGCAGTATTCCACTCTATACGTTCGAAAATCTAAACTGTGACATAAGTTAGCAGCTAGTGAGTGAACGTTGACCCCATAGACACCACAGGTGGTCTCAAAGAAGTTACTTTCCCTACCATTCGCACGGGTTTTCTTCCTAGTTTTACTATAGTACACTTGGATAAAGCGAATTAATTTCAGATTAATAATCGACCGTAGAAAGTGTCGATGGACAGAGTCGGACGTCGGTAGTGCGAGTGGTTTGTTGGTGACAGAACGATGTTCAGGAGTCTGACAAAGGGAGAAGTGCTTATAGGCCTATCCCGACCGATCAAAACTTGTCCTGACTCTTGACTGCGCATCGCAGTACAAGAAGAAACAAGTGACGATGACGATGGATCTCTTCGGGAAATGTTCAGAAGAGGTATGCCACGGTGGTTCTTCAGCTGTGACCTATAATTCATATCCTTAGCTAAAACGTAACCGCAACTGGGCGCATAGAGGCGCATTATGAAGGTTTTCTTCCTACTACAATACCTAATGACAACGGCGAGCGAGACCTGCTATCGGAAACGGTCGCTACCACGAGTCTTTATCACCATATGTATATAACCTCACAGTAGGCAAGTAACTGATGATAACAGAGACGAAACCTTGGACGTCTCATCCATTACTCCCCATAAAAACGATCTTCGACGCCACGCAACGCACCACATTCGACACAAGGATCCGCGTTGCATCGTAATGAAGCCCTCGGGACATAGTTTTGTTTGAGTGAATGGAGGCCGGACAGAAAATCGAGGTCGGATCGTAAAGTGCAGGGTTTATTGCTCGTGTTGTGGCGTCAGATTGTTGTCTCGGAAACAAGTCCATAAACCTCGTAATCAAACTACCAAGTTAGACTATTACAATTGTGTTTCTGATGATAGTTGAATAAACAGTTCGATCTTTGGTTCACATACTTTTATACTCGTATTGATTGTTATGCGATGTTGGCACAGTGTGATGAAGTAATGAAACCGACGTGTTTTCAAATGGCAGGAGAAAATCGGAGCGGTGCCACC